AAGTGCAGGTAGATAGTGGGGATGATCCAGGGTTGGGAATTGGCAGGGTTAGGTCAAGATTATAACAAGAGAATTATTTAAGAGTGGAGGACAGAACCCTGCTGAAATGTCTATACACTTGTGTCAACACTGTGGAAGAGGAGAAATCAAGTCAAAAAAGGATTAACAGACTGGGAGAATTAAGAAAGAGGAGATCATGTTGAAGATGATGGGTTATTCAGGAAAAATAAGACAGTGGGGAGTACAGGACCTAATCATATTTAACTCATGCCAAGAACAATACCCATAGAACTCCTTTATAATGCTGGGCATTGGGGATGGGACTAACACCTTCATATTGTAGACTCTGTATCCTATCAAAATCACACCACTGCTTGGACTGGTGCTGGACAAGATTTAACATCTAATGTCTGCATCTGTATAAAAATAACAACGGAAATGATTAAAAAGTCTACCTTCTTCTATGTGTAGACAGTTTACAACAAGTCCTCTTAATGAGTATTAGGCTGTAAGGTAGCCATAGAATTTCTCAATGGAGTTGGAATAGCGAATGAATCCAATGGAGCAGGAACAGCTGGCTACTATATTGAAGGAAAATCTGGCCATTTTGTATAGCTATAAACTTATCTGGGTTTAGTCACAGGCGTCTATGAGGGAAATACCTGCTTAACGTTCTCAACTTTATTCATACTTTTCTGGTAAGCAAGTATGAGTTTGGGATTCATTAGCAGTTTGTTAAGTCTTTCCCAAGCCAAACATCTGCTTGGCATTCATAGTGTTTGCAGCTCTTCTGGAAATGAAATGTCTGCTGAACATTTATCAGCTATATTTGACTCTCCTTTAAGTGGAATATTTTTAGAGGAATCCTTCCTTAGAACTAAAGAGAAATCCTAAGGGTTCCAAAAACTGAACCTAATTGGACCTTTTATTTAGGGTTCTTCTCACATCATGGCAGAAAATACACAAAGTGGCTCTCCACTTTTCTGCTTGCAGGACCCCCTTAGTAAACCAAGGTGAAAGGTTCTGATTGGTATGTCAGTCCCAAGTGACAGCAGTTACTAAAATTGAGTCTCTTTACAGAGTGAAGGAAAAAAAAAACAGCCTGGAAGGGGATTAAACTTTGATTAGCAATGTTGCAAGTAGGGAAAAATGCTTACTTCAATTTAACTTCTCTTTTTGAGAAGACATGGATACATAAATTATGTAGAAGAACAGTGATTACCAGACAGTCTAAAAGCTGGAGGCTGTAAGCCAATTTTCAACCAACTGTCACAGAACATAAGTTTCAAAGTATGGTTAAACTAAACTGACAACTGTAGGAAAAAATAACTGTAGGAAAAAATGTAAAATAATTTTCAAGGCAGGCCTACCAGGACTGATGAGGACCTTGGAATCCACAAGCTATTTAATGTAGACAATTTTCACCATTTTATTCCCACCCTTTCAAGCGGGGAGTGTTCAAAGCAGCATTACAAATGGTTATTGAAAAAAAGCTGACCCAAGAAGGAGAGAAACCAACTTCACCCCCAAAAAGTACCTAAATAAAAATAATGCTCAGTCAAGATACATTGTACTCTGGCCTTAAGATGATAAAGAATAGAAAGCTAGAGACGGAATGGACTTTACAAATGATATAGTACAAGGACCTCATTTGGAAGAGGATGACCAGAGAGGTGAAGGGATTTGCATAAAGTTGCACAGATTTTTGTTGCTCAGTCATTTTTCAGTTGTGTGTGACCCTATTTGGGGTTTTCTTGGCAAAAATAATGGAGCAGGTTGCCATTTTCTTTTTCAGTTCATTTTACACATGAGGAAACCGAGGCAAACAGGGTTATGACATGCCCAGGGTCACACAACTAATAAGTTTCTGAGGCCAGATTTGAATTCAGGAAGATGAGTCTTCCTGGCTCCAGGCCTGGCATTCTATCCACTGTGCCATCCAGCTATCCTTACCTGGCAGAGAGAGACTGAGGCTTAGAGCCCCTCAAGCCAAGGCTCTTTTTTACTAAGTCACTTACAGTTTTTAGCATATCGAGCTCCCTGAACCTCTAGACTAGTTCTGGCAATGAAAAAGTCAAAATCTTCACTAAGTAACAGATTCCACCTACATTCAATTCATTGAATTCTAACTGAATTCAATTCAATAAACATAAGTACCAACTTTGTGTAATACACTGTGCTCAGCACCAGTGATAAAAAATGAGAGAAGGCACATTGTCTGCTCTCAGCAAGCTTGCCATCTAGTTAGGGGAATACGACAAATATGCATGAAGAAATTTCAGTGAAGTAAAAACAAAATATATCAGTTAAAATTTTATTTAGGGAGGAAAAAGAAAAAAGTATCTGGAATGCAGTAAATGATTTCACTGGGCTTCTATTATTCTGTACATTTCCCTAAATCTCTGGCTTCTTATTGAGTAGCTTAGGGCTTTATAATCCTTGCTTTGTTTGAGTGATAATTGTAATAATAACCACTACAATGGATCCCATAATAAAATTTTGAATTACAATAATAATTACAATGTACAGACAAGGACTCTGAGGTGCTCAAAAAGAAGTATCATGACTAGTAAAGTCAACTGTTTGCTCTCAGTGGACAATATAGTTAGTCTTTAAGGAAAAACTTCTAATTTAAACACTGCTTTTAACAGGCAAACACTTCCAAATTTTCTTCCTCACTTGTACTGATGTGTCAGGGAAGATAGTAATGGATCTAATTCTGAAGATGGAATGGAGCCTCATAGCCACAGTAGCTACTATGAGACAGCTGGTTTCCCTTCCTTCACTATAACTAAGATGTGAGGCTTGAGGGAGAGAGGATGGAGCTGAGGAGGATTAGATTGTGAATTCAACTTAGGTGTGGATGGGCTTGAAATATGCCTTTAAGCATACTAACTTTCAGAGACAAGACCACAAAGCCAAGACTGAATATAAACAGGTTTTGGAAAGAGTTCTGTCCAGTAACTATTTTGAAATACTATACAATGCTGACCGGGAGCTCTATACTGAAAAGACTCACAGGATAGGATAGAGTCCCTTGACAGAAGGGGATTTTAAGAACCTGAGAAAAGATTAGGGACACTTTCCTTTTCTTATAGGGAATGATAAACTGTTTCACCCTAGCTATGTTTATTAAGGGGTAAGAGTTTACTCATTGACACAATGCTTGGGGCTTAGCTGAGCCAGGTGCCAAGGAGATGCCCTATGCCAATGGTCTCAATGCCAAGGGGCACAATGCCAATATCTTTGGTGCCAACAAGGCGCAGAGATGTAAATCAGCTAATGGCCCTGATGTCATTGTGGGCTTGAAGCCATATATAGCACCAAGCAGGAAGCTGGACAAGATTCCTTATGGGAAAGGGGAGAATATGAATTAAGATGATTAGAAGAAAAATGCTGAGAAAAGATATTTTATATTTAAAAAAAAAAAACCAAAATGGAGCAAAACTCAGTGCCTGCATTGGGACCTTCAAGGTCCTCAAACGTGTATAAAACAAGACTAAGGGAGGAAGAGGGCCCACACACATCTTTATATTCTCAGCTTCAGTCCTGACCTGCACATGTATAATAGAATGTGATCCTCTCCTAAGGGCTTGATTCCTTAACAATTCCTGAGGCCCATGTGCCTTGTGACTACTCCAGGATTGGGATCTCTGGAGGCAATTTCATGAGTCAAGAACGTATCCTTTTTTTCTCCCTTGACTATACCTCCTAGGTCTCTCTCTGCTCTGCTATTGTTTAATTCTGTGGTTTAATGCTGTGAAGGGGGAGAAGAGGCAGCTTACTGAGAAATGCTACCAAAAAAAAAGTTTAGATGCAATTATTTTTGCAAAAAATCTGCTTCTCCAATATTTAAGCTAACCAATTATAATTTTTCTTTGACCCAGCTTACCAATTTAGGTTCTAGGAGTGCTGTCTATACTTCCAAAAAATAAGCAAATGGCCATACAACTCAATCAAGATTTATGTGCACTTGACTTATCATTTATGAGCTCTTTAATTATTATTACATTAGTAAAAATAGTAAATTAGGAAACTCTATGCATTAACACTAATGGGACAATATAAGAGTGGAGCATTAAAAAAATCTCTCACCAGTGAGCTATGTGAAAGGTCATGAAGGGAGACTGTATGGCATTTTGTCCCTCAAGCTCAAAGGAACAATGCTGTAACACTGGCAAAATGCTTTACTATCATATTCATTCATCCGTCTTATAGGATGGAAACAAAGAATGTTACTGTGCTAGACAGAATAGGTAAGTTTAATTTGCTGATTACTTCATCTTGCAGATTATATCTTGAAAATATATAAATACAGTACAAAAGATGAACATTTTAATATCTTAGGGATAAACAACATAATTTCACAATCCCTGAGTAACTTGGTAGATGATCTTTGAAAGTATTGCAGCCAAAAGGATTCATGTATGGTCAAGTTACAGATGAACTTAGGAAGGCTGGCCCTCAGGCAACATGGATTCCATTTCTGTTTATTCTCATAGGCTTTCCTGCCAGAGTTTGCATACACTCTGCTGGCTAACCATTCAAGAATCCAAGATCGCCTCCAGGACATCCATCATGAGGTATCTAAATAGGACTTCAGTGGAGACCAACTATCCCTGGGATAGTTGTATTTATTTATACTTTAAATGATTAAAATATGTATTTTAAAATTTACTAATCTATGTTGAAAATGTAGACTAGTAAAGATACCAAAACATTCAATGAAAAATATAAAGTTAGGAGACAATGAAATGCAGAATTCTAAAAATAAAATGCAATTAAAATGAAACAAATTCCTAACTCTTTAGTAAATAGTTTTTGAAAAATTCTCAAAACTAAGAATTTATGTATGGAAACAGAATTTTTGAGATTAGTGAAGTTTAACTAAATGCTTTGCAAGCAGCTCCAGAACAAACTAACATGAAGACTATTTATACGGAAGATGTGAAGGATACATTGAACTGGAAGGCTTTTCACATTAAGAAAAACAAACTTACCTGCAACAGATAACAGCTTTGCAGGACAAAGCTAAATCCAGGAAGTACTGTCTTACTCCAAAGGTTAAGGCATACTTCAGAGTTTTGCCATCAATTATTAGAGCAAAGTCATTTTCCTTCCTGAGAGCATCACCAAGGGTAGTACAATGATGGCTGAGAGTTTCTCTTGTTGCCTATAATGAGACATATACACTAATTATTGATTCCTAGACATTCTAATCAGAACATCACACGTTATTTTTTTTTATTACAAAAGCAACTTAGATTTGCTTAGTGCCTTTTACTTTTCAAAGTGCTTTAAGTGATCTGTTTTTTCTTTTAAAATTGCATTTTATAATTTATTGTTTATTTTAAAATGTATCTACACACTCCCTTCTACTACCCAGAGAACCATCCTTTATAATAAAGAGTAAAAAAGAAAGAGAAGGGAAGGAAAGGCAGTTCAGCAAATCTAACCAAGAAAATAACAATCTGACATTCTATGTGTTGGTCCACATTCACAGTCACCCACCTCTGCAAAGAAGGGAGAAAGGTACATTTCATATTGTGAGGGACCATCTTTGGCCATTAGAGCACTCAGTTTTAGGTTCTTTTGTTCTTTCCATTTACATTACTGTAGTCAGTGCTTATATTGTTTTCCTGGTTCTGCTTTGTTCACTTTGCAATAATTCATGTGTTTCCTCTTGTTTCTCTTTATTCTTCTTATTTATTGTTTTCTTACAGCTCAGTAATATTTGGTTACATCACTGTACCACCACCATTTGGTGGCCTACGCTGCTTCTAGTTTCTTGCCACTACAAAAAAGTCCTGATTCAGGTATTTTGGTAGATGATAGGTTTTTTTTTTTTTTTTTACCTTTTCTCTTCTTGGGTATATAGCTTACAGGGGAATCTCTAAGTTCACATATACACAATAATATTACAAGTATTTTTTTTCCTCTGGCAGTTTTGTGTATAATAATCGTTCTAACATTATTCCCATAGATAATTTATTATTATTTTTCACAAACAGGAAGAAGCAGAGATGTAGGTTATCCCTAAGTAATTTACAGCTGATTTGGAATGGGTTTCTGTACTTCTGGGTTTGAATTCTAGCTTTTACTAAATGTTTGACTTTAGGTAACTGATTTTTACCTCTCTAGGGTTCAGTTTCCTCCCCAGTAAAATGAGGGGGTTGGACTGGATGACCTCTAAGGTACTTTCCCATGCTAGCTCTATGATCCTGAGAGAAAAAGGATAATCCTTAAATACTTAATGATGACTGCCAGGTTCATATGACTGATAGAACCTTCAACCAAAGACTTCTGCTACACTGCCAGTTCTGTGGATGCCATTCTTTCAATAGTCTTATAAATTAGTGGGTTTTGCTCACCCAAGTATCTTCTTATTTTTTCAAATGAATGCAGCAACTAAATTGCTCATGAGCCATAGAAAAACTTGCAATTATTGTCAAGGATGAGCCATGAAGCTGAAATAAAATCCAGGTAAGTCACAAATCTGTGTGTGAATGCCCTCATTAATTAGCCTGAGGGATGTAGCTAAGAAAAAAGAAGATCCTCTCTTCCTAATATTTTTTTTCTCTTTCTTCTAAGACATTCTCTGACACCTTTTGATTTGTTAAAGACCTCTTATTTATGGCATAAATGTACCTGGCCTTCTTGGTGATTATCACAGATCTTCAGAAATCAAAAGGTGTCAGGAGATGTAATAGAGAAGAATAACATTTTTTGAAAGGTGAGTAAAAAAGTTCTTTCTAAACTGAATTCTCCTGTCAGCCCACCTATGGTGATATACAGAAACACACACAGACACAGACACACATACACACAAACACACAAAATAAAATGCAAAAAAAATTAATTTAGTTTTTCTAGGTAGAATTAGTTTTGTTGGCTATGTATTGTCAGTTATGTTTTTTCCTTATTTTTAAAAATGCATATTTAAATTTATTTTATTCATATTAATTTATTGCTTCTCTCCAAGACTTGAGGCCATACTTTACGACCCATATTGCATTGAAGCTTATCTCCTGGAGTCAGAGGTAAGTTTATTAGTATATGTTGCTCTATTTTATTTTTGTCTCCTGAAGGGAGAAATGTTTAAACATTTGAACTTGACAGCTTGTGAAAGTGAAATTTCACAAATAAGCTAAAATAAAATAGAAACTGAATATAAAAACGTACAGTACTAAAGAATGAAACCACAATTTCTCTTTTACTTTTCACCTCTTCTCCCCCCTTCCTCCCTTTTACCTATCTTCTTTAGAGTAGGAAATAGCATTTGTTGCTACAATTAGAACAATTTCTGCATTATGAGAGATCAGGATGGTGCCATGCTGCCTCTGGAAACAGGTAGAAGGATGGTCAGGGAGAGTCAGTCATCAAGGGAGGAGGCATGTTGTCCCTCTAACCAGTGAATAAAAAGATCTGAACTGTTCATTTACATGTGGTCAGGCCATAAACGAAGACAGAGCTTTAGAACTTAAGCTAGTTGGCTGGCAATAATCACTGCCCTGGTCAGGCTCCTTTAAATTTAGATTGAACAGTTCTGGAAGTGGAACAAAGGATGTCATCCAGTAAGAAAGTGATTTTTAAAAGTGGCTGGTCATGTAATGTGAGCCAAGCATAAGAGGACAGTCATGTGTTGCAATGGATCTCAAATGTAAAAAAAAAAAAAAAGTACTTGGGAGAAGGCCTAGGGGCAGATTGATAGGAGAGCATGGATAATAATCCTACATGATGAGAAAGCATGAATGGGTTGTGATCTTCAGACATCCACAGAAGTGTTAAAGTTCTAGAAGGTAGACACGGTTCTCTTTAATACCAAGATGATTGTTTTCCACAAGTCAGTTAGTCAATAAGCATTTTTAAGTACTTACTACATGCCAGGATCTGCTACAGAGAAAGAAAGGCAAAGACAGTTCTTGCTCTCAAAGAGCTTCTAGTTTCATGCACTCTAATCTTTTCACCTTGTGGAAATCATTCCTAGTTCTTGGGGAAATGCAGTTGCTCTTTATCAGTTCTTTAACATACAAGCACACTGCATGGAAATCACTTTCTATACTTAGTTGTTGCTGATTTCTCAAGCCAACAATTCAGTCATCCATACAATAGCTTTTTTTTTCCTTTTCATGAACTAAGGGAGATGTTTTCATGCTCTTATCCATATATAATGCATATTTTACATATATTTATATAGGCACACAATATACACTATATACATATACACATGCATATAGCTATATATAGTCATATATGTAAATAAGAATATGTACATACATATATTATTGAATTAATTGATTTGCAGGCTTTATCAGTCATACATCTTTCTTTCTTTCTTTCTTTTTGTTTTACTTTTATTTTTTTAGTCAGGCAATCAGGGTTAAGTGACTTGCCCAGGGTCACATAGATAGTAAGTGTCAAGTGTCTTGAGGTCAGATTTGAACTGAGGCCCTCCTGACTCCAAGGGGGGAGCTGTATCCATTTCACCCCCAGCTACCCCCAATTTTTTTTTTTGACTAGGCAATGAGGTTAAGTGACTTGCCCAAGGTCACACAGCTAGTAAGTGTCAAGTGTCTGAGACCAGATTTGAACCCATGTTCTCCTGACTCAGGGCCAGTGCTCTATCCAAGGCACCACCTAGCTGCCCCATAGTCATTTGTATTTCTTTGGCACCTCTGAAATTAAAATTCATTCAAGTGGAATCCTCTTTATGAATTTGCCCAGAGGTTACACCTTTGCTTTTGGAATCATTAAGGTGTATGAGATTACTTTTTAGTACAGTGTCAATAACTTGTAAATGTGGGGAAAGAGTCTTTGCTTCTTTTGTTGGTTACTCTTTTTGCAGAGAACCCCCCACCCCCCCAAAAAAACCAACCTCTAAAACAAATTAAATAAAATGTTCTCTTTTACGTCTAACTGCACTAATTTTCTTTGTGCTAAAACTTTTCAATTTTATATTATAAACATTGCTCATTTTATCTTTTGTTATCATCTTTATCCCATATTTGGTCCAAAATGATACTGTTACCCATAGGTGTAAAAGGTATTTCCTTCACCTTTGTTCTAATTTATGTCATGGTCTTTTAGTATAGAGACCATGTGTCCATTTAGTATTGAGGCATATGATGTGAAAAGTTGGCTTAAGCCTAATTTCTGTTTATAGCATTAAGAGCAGGTTTGTAGAATATTGAGTCTTTACACCAGTAAACAAAATCACTAGATTTACTGGATACCGGTACTATTTTTTTTGCCCATTTATAATTTTCCTAATATTGAACCAACTATGTATTCCTGCTATAAATCTAACTAGGTCATAGCGTGTAACCTTTTCAGTATTGTAAAGTTGTAGAAGTTGAAGTTTCTTTGCAAACATTTTATTAAAAATGTTTATAATAATATTCATTAGAGATATTGGGTTAATAAATGCTTACTGACTAATCAAAGCTTTCTTTCTCTGATGTAACTTTTCTTGGTTTATGTATCAAGAACACATTTGTGTCATAGGAATTGGGAGAAATGATTTCTTTATTTTTGCATATAATTTATATAATATTGAAATTAATAGTTCTTTGAATGTTTGATAGAATCCACTTGGAAATCCATTGAGCGCCATTTTTCCCCCTCTGGGAATTCTTATGTAGCTTGTTCAATTTTCTTTTCTAACATTAGGTTAATTAATTTTTCAGTTTCTTCCTCTGCTAATCTGAGTAGTTTATATTTTTACTTTCATTAATTTCATTTGTAATGATAAGTTTTATGACAAAATCATTCCTAATAGTTTATTTCCTCTTCATCTGTTGTGAATTCTTCTTCATTTTTACTTTAGCATTTCAGTTTCCCTTTCTTTTTATAGACCAAACTTGCTGGCAGTTTGTCTATTTTGTTAGCTTTTCCAAAAAGATAAACCAATTCAGTCATATTTACTTATCAATTTTTTTTACCAATTTTATATATTCTTTGATTTTCAGAATTTCTACTTTTGTGTTTAGTTGAGGTTTTTCAATTTGTTATTTTCTATTTTTTTTAGTTATGTGCCTAATTCATTCATCTGTTCTTTCTTTTATTGATAAGAGTATTTAGATTAAAATTCCTCTTACTAATTACTTTGTGTCCAAAAAGTTCTGGTATGTTGTCTTATTGTTAGTTTCTTTAATGAAATTACCTATTGTGTCT